GCAGGGTCAATGATTTATTTTTTTAAATTCATTATGCATAATAATTATACACGCAATAATCCTGTTATTTGTGTCACTTTGTATGACAAATAAGCTGATGACCTCTTGTGTGGAGTGGTAACTGTCTCCTATATATATACTAGAAGAGAACTAAAAGTTTTATTTTATACACTATCATGATTACTTTTGTAAATCTTAATTATTGCTATTCCCACAGACTAAGGCGCTTAGCCTTAATGCCATGTGAAACCATAGACTTTGTATAACGTACATAGGTATTAACTTAGATTATGAAGCATAGTATGTTATACTAAGTTTATAAGGGATTGCCCTCCTTAATATATATTAATAATAATAATAAACAACAGCGACCCTCTTAAAACATCTCTGAAGTCTGACTGCGGTTACCAATCCACCTGCCAAGTGTGGCAACTACTGGCAAAACCCCTCAAGGGAAGGCTTATGTTCAGCAGTGGACGATTAAGGACCGATATGATGATGACTAAGTCTACGGTTATGAAACAGTCATGCAGGATGCAAGCGCAGTGTTTTAACTGCAGAAGATCGAAAGGAATAGCGATTATTAGGTTTAAAGTGTAGATGTATGTATCTGCCAAACAAGCTACTTCTTTAATAATGTCTTTATCTGATTATCAAAATATTCTTATATTATTTGTTAAATTAACCAGATATACTGCTGTAGCTATAAACCAACTCAAGTAATAATGGTGTTTGTGCATCTTGGAATGGTAAGTTTTATTCATGCAACTTAAAATGGCAAATAAGCTGACGGCCCCCCTAATGGAAAGTGGTAACTCTCGCCTATGAACATGAATAGTACTATGGACATAACAGAGTATACTCTGTCGCCCATGAAATCCTTCATGCGTTGCTATTTCTGAAGACTAAGGTATTATGCCACCTGTTCAAAGACATATAACTACTTCACAGCAGAAACACGAATGGAACAGAGACAGACCTAATCAGACGATTTCTTCACAAAACCTCCCTCTGGTAAATCTAAGTAAGTAGTTGTCTAGTAAATCGACAATTCACTTACTGTAAAGTGGTAACCTGTATACTGTATAATTGTACCTGTATACTCTGATTAAGCATGATACCCTTCATGTGTTACCACTGAATAACTGTGTTACCGGGGGGAAAGGGATTGTCAGTGATGGAGACAGAATCCCATTGCTAGCAATATACCCAACCAGGTCGACCTCGTCGCGGTTCCCCCTGGAAACTATCATGGTTAATTCCTGATGAATTCATCATGATAGGCTAACTGACCTGTTTTCATTCTCATCTATCACCCTTCACTGGTGCTCCGCCAACGTATCCTGTTATCGCAGGCGGGGTTACCATACCATTTTCACCCATCAAAAAAAATGTGTGTTACCACAATTGTCACAGTTCATTTCTTAGGCGTAAAATGTGACTTATATCAATGAGTTACAGTAGTACTAATAGATTTAATAATCAGCGCCATCTAGCAGTCATATTTTGTTTTTTATTCCTACAGTTACAATTGTAATAATGAATAAACTGTAGAGATGGAGTCACTTTACCGATAATTTAAGTCCCACTGGTAGCACCGTAATTTAAAATTTTTAAAGGTGTTTCCTATTCTGTAATTTATGTGGTACACATTCAGTCCAATTCTTTCAAGTTTTTATTAGTAATCAGACGTCTGTCTGGGGATTCAATTCAGAAGCACCAAAACTAACCAATTTAAAAAAAAACTAGAAAGACTCGTACCTGGGATCTGGGTTATTCTTTTAATTCTCTTTATTTCTCGGCGGTCTTCAAATCCTACTATTGATGTGAAATTTTATATAAATGTTTTGATATGTAATGATTTGATATCAATGTCCGAGGGTGAAAAGGGATGTTGAGTAATAAACGTAAATAGTCGCATATTAATATTGAACTGTACTTACTTGGTAAATACATACCTTACACAACAGCTGGTGTATCACTGGAGTTTCTCCTGTCCTCCTACTATGAGTGAAGTGCTCACAGAGTTATTTAGTAAGATTAGTAACCTACAAGCTCTATTGTTAGCAATTAATTCTATTTAGACATAGATAGACCTCCACGCGGTTTCTTCTGGAAACGGTCGTAGTAATTCTGGTATTCGTCTTGATGGGCTAACTGACCTGTTTTCATCCTCATCTAACATTTATCACTGGAGCAACAGGCACTGCCAGCGTAATGAAAAAAATCAATATATGGTTAGGTTAGGTTAAGTTGGTCAGTTACTACTACCTGTCACGTGGTGTACGATCAGCATGTTTAACCATTTCAAATAGCAAAAAAAAAACCTCTTTTTATTTCTATCTATTGCCGCGGATTGTGAACACATTTTGAACCCTAAGATTATTTAACGATACACTTATTGACTTGAATTGACAATGGGGTTTCCCAGAAAGAGTTGATAGTTGCTAGGGATGTTAATCCCAATTGCTATACTTATATTCTCCTTCAGCTTTCCTCCTGGAGATGGCCTCCAACTGATTAACTTCTAGTGAATTCATCACAATAAGACAACTTACTTAGCTCCATTCTCATCGTTCTATCCTTCACTGGTGCTCCGTTATTGCATAGGTAAGTGCAAAAATAGAAAAAGGTTAAAAACAGAACTGCCTACTATACCACACGTGGGAGGGAAATGTCAGTAACCAGTCAATCTAATCTCCAAGCAGTGTCTTGGAACCAACGTAATTATCGGCGAATACATCGAGATTCACCGAGTACATACAATACGCCGTTGGGCTTATTTATCCGACTGGGGCGAAAGGGATTGTTAACAATAGGGCCAAACAGCCCGATTACTAACAATATATGCTATCAGGTTGACCTTCAGACAGTTCCCCATGGAATCCAACGTGGTTAATTGTAGAATTTGTCAGGATAGGTTTTATTTTTTTTTTAATGGGCGATAATGGAACAGTAATCCCACTTGCGCTATCGATTTGGAATGATAGATGATGATGATGAAAGTAGGTCAGTTAGCCCATCGTGACGAATTCCACTAGAATTAACCACGATGTTTTCCAGGAGTAGTAGTAGTAGTAGAAGGATTGCTCATTCCCATTACTAACAATCCCTTTCCCCCTTGTCACGATAGGTTAATTGACCTGCCTTCATTTTTATCTATTATCAATTATCACTCGTTGGAGCACCGTTACCGTATATCGTTGCACTGGTGGGGTTACCATTCCATAATCACTCATTAAAGAAAAAACTTTATCTGACTTGATCTTTGCCTGTCTTTTTTGTATAGCAGGATTGTATAGTAGATACTATTTAATTTTACCATTAAAATCTCTACTATAATTAGATACAAAAATAATTCAAAAGGCCGGCAATGCACAGGCAACTTCTCTCGTGTTGCAGGTGTTCATGGGCGACAGTAGTTGCTTTCCATCAGGTGGACCATCTGCTCGTTTGCCTCCCTAATAATAAAAAAAATTAACTCTGTGTGTAAGATTTCATGGTTAAATGATTTTTTATCCAAATTGCAAGTAGAATGGAAAATCATACGCATTGGTGTGTTCAAGATTGTTTTCTAGGAGAGGTCCCTAAAAAAGGAACATTAATCTTAGACATATCCATGCACGTAGCTGAAAGCTTCGCCTGAATCCTGGGATAGACACCAGGCAATTCTGGGGTGCAAACGGCCCACTCAATCCTATGCCTATAATAAATGTGTCTATATACTTTTCTTGCCTTGTTTTCAATTGTTATTCTTAACAAACTGAATATGAATCTATTTTAATGAAATTTGTCAAAGATACCTTGAGAAGAGACATAGTTTTCAAAAGAAAATACAACTATAAATTATATACAATAAAACTATAAATGTATATACATAAATACCTAATTATCGACACAAACCAATTAATGCTAATAATTGTGTTTCTATTGCAATGTACACAAATCGTATAAATGGCTATTTTTATTTTTAAATAACAATTTATTTTACATGAAAAGATTTACTGTAGGAAATCTTTTATAAGGGATAAGATTGCCTTTGGACATTACGTTTATAATTATATGTTTTTATTATTATGTTTGTGTACAATAAATAATAAACAAAGAAAGAACCAAGTCGAGGGCGAAAACAAGTATTTAATATTCAGAGATTTTATTTATACAATTAAACGAAAAATAATAAATGTTCTTTGTTTCTGCGTCTGCACATAATATAGGCATAGATAAACTTATCTATGTCTATGTTATCTGTTAAATAAAAAATAAAAACAATTAAAAAATGCAATGTTTCTGAATAAATTTATTTCAAAAGTAAACTAAAATTTTTGCAAACATATTTCGCTTTACATACATACATACATACAAATCTGTCACGCCTGTCTCCCATTAGGGTAGGCAGAAACAATGGAACGCCAAATGCTTCGATTCAACTAAACCTCTTTCGCTTCTTCCACATTCATCATTTCGCTATAATAGTTTTTAAATATTTTTATTATCAAATAGGAATGTTTTTTATGTGACATGCTATAGCGAACAAGCGAGCCTCCCATGATGGATAATAGTACCTAACCGTTACTTATAAATATTAATAGTACTATGAATATTACAAAATGCACTATTATATTCAAAATCATAAAGCCCGTTCGTTATAAAATAAATTTTAAAATATTTGTTAAGAAATATAGAAAATTAACAGATAATGTAAAGTAAAAGATCTGGAGACTGAATATCGAAGCGATAGTTAGATCAAATATTCGAAGAGCTGCAGATATTTTTTAGTGTCACTATCCACTGGGTGTCTGATGGCAACGATAACAATTGTAGCTGATCTAGGATAGATTCACGCCCCTCACAGACTAGAAAGATTAAGGAAGGAAGGAGGAAAACCTCCAGGATGTGAATGGCATATGGCTAATTTTTTCAACCATAAAGATTTCGATATCGACTAATTGAAATTCAGTTTCTCTAGAGAATTAATATATGAAAATAAAATAGATAGGTGAGTGTGTAAAATTATCTATATTGAATTATAATAAATTGTCACAACAAGAAATTACCACGAGCCTAAATTACACAATGATGCTTACGAAATATTTAGCCTAGTATCTAATGTACTTAAACTAACTTAGTCAACTTAACGTTACATCACATGTAGAACGAGATATCTTTTTATTTATAAGTAACAATGGCCGATGATATTAATAACACGTTACTCCGTTCCCATCAAACAATCTTACAAACTTAACTATAAGCTTAGCATTTATTGTTTTATTTCAGTAATATAGTATATAAGTATACAGAAAAATCTTTCAAAAGCTATTATTATGTGTGTATATTATACTTGGTCTCTTATAACTAGGTTCCAGTTTTATGTAAAATATCGTATGACATAGTATTATGCAATTATTACATTGGCTACAACATTAAGTATGTCAGTCGTAGTGTAGCCAAAATTATCGAAGAATAATCGAATTGTAGAAATACAGGTATATATTCTAATTGACATAGAAACACGCGACGTCGAAGACATAGGAATCAGATGTAACGGAGCAATGTGTTTCCCGGCTAACTGACGTAACTTTATCTCTTGTTTTTATTCTTCATGGTGAGACGCCGCCAGAAACTGGTCTTCTCGGCGGGAGGCTGCTCCTCCCGCGCCTCCTCGCCTCTTGTCTCCCCTCGCAACATGTCCAGGAACGTCGGATCGTTTTTCCGTACGTTTTTCTCGATCTTAACAGCTTCGGCACTGAGCTCTGCTTTCAGCTTCTCGGGGCTCGTGTTTTCGACCTTAAACTCGTTAGGGTCTTCAACGAACGCCTGCTGAAGGTCGCGCATGATCTTTTTCCGTATAGTCTTCTTCATGCTCAGGTGTCTTTCCAATGTTTTCACATCTCCGTTGGCGTAAGAGCGGTAGTCTTCCTTTTTCTTCTTAGGCTTTTTGTTTTTGTCGTCGTTATCGTCAAAGCTCTTGGCGTCATATTGTTGATTGAGGCCAAAAATGTCCCGAAGGTGTGGAATGGCCCTCTCCGACGTCATCTTGGAAGCTGGCGCAGCTCACGCCTACAGGACAGTATCACAGACACCTCATCATGAATCCTGAAAAATAAAACAAACAATGTGTTAGTATATAGGGAATGAGGTAACGAGAAAGAATTGAAGTAGTAAAATGGCTCAATTTTCTTTAATTTTATTCTTAATTACTTGACAGAGATAGGATTGCAATAGTTTGCTTAAGTATAAATTAAAAAAATAGGAGGAATTTAAATTTGCATGGTCGTTTATCATCACTGTAAATTAATGGTAGAATGCGATCGTTCTTTGAATTGAATGGGTCCAATGATGCAAGCCATTGGCATGTCCGGACTCATTACGTTAGTTGATCTATCAACGAACAGTTGTAAACGTATATAGGAGACAAGATCAAGTATCCTATCAATGCGACATTACTGCTATTGTATGTTATTAATTAACAAAAAATACCTATTATTAACAAATAATAATTCATTAACAGTCGATTATCAACGATCAACATTACTTAAATATTTTCCATTAACACGTTACGCTCCAGATTGTTTTCATAACGAGAGTCTAATCCGATTAACACGTCAAGCATTTTTGTAGACATTGGAAACTGCGGGAGATTATTGAATGCATCATTTGAACAATGAACAATTATCTCTATTCCCATTACAAAGAAATTGATATTACTATTGTTTGTTACCCTCACAGATGTAAATTTCAATTGATGCAGCAAATAAATGCATGTGTGCGTGTCAATTTTTGACCGTGAAATATACATAAAAGGATTTATTTGATTCCACTTAAATATTGTTGTTCTTATATGTTTTTTTTAGATATTTATTTATTTTTAAAGAACATCCATTGGCGTATTTAAGACCATTTTATTATATTCTAGGATGGGCGGGGACTGGGGAAAGGCGTATACATTTTTGTGAAGTTTTAATTGCAAACCAGGATGGGCAGACCCACCTGCCCCCCTTAAATACACTTTGGCGGACATTATAATCTCAATATATAAAAATAGTTTTAATTTAAGATCTTTATTTTCAATAAATAGTATATTTAAATTTACTTTAGTAGTGACTTGCTTTAGTTTCCATATGCATTAGTGTTACCAAGTTGCGTTGTCTATTTATATTTCTATCTAGTCTCTGGATATCCATAAGAAGAAATGTAGTAAATATTACATAGTGTTTCGTATATTAGTAGGCCGACAGATGGCCGAGTACCTACTGCATTAGCACACACCAGATTCTACAACGTACAATGGTAGTGATAAAGAACGGGCGCTCTGTAGCGTAACTGTGATACTTTGTCAGTGACTGCTCTAACGACTTCCCTTACAGTTGCAGGTTAGCGATAGGGTTACCAAACGTACACTATATAAGATTATATCTTACTATAATATATTTTGGGTCAAAATATTATATATATGCCTATACTCTCGCAAAAAGATATATTTAGTAGACAAATCTATTATATTTTGGTTAGCTAACGTCAATAATCATAAATTAATATATAATTTTTTGGCCATGGGCACCAAAGCAGGTAACCTATCGTGACAAATATCACAAGAATTAACTACGATGGTTTTCAGGGAGAACATAGTAAAGGTTGACTTGACAGGGTATGTTGCCAGTAAAGGAGCTATCTCGCCCGCCTACATTACACCCAAATTCAAGCGATGACGTTGTTCGTTCATATATATATATATATGACTAATTTAATAATATTAATTTTCTTCTGTGTGTTGGCAACCCTAGTTATTGACTATGTATGTAAGAGAAAAACCCGTACCTAGAACTGCATCTAGGCTGAGTTTTATTAAATGGTATACAGGTGGATGCGAAAAGCAAGACATTTTCAATGCTTATTTTGACAACCGAATATTTTCATTTTAAGGAATTATTAACGTTTCATTTGGAAAAGGAATATTCTTCCGTGTTGGTCACAAAATCGGATTAACGGTCGATGGTCTTTTGTCAAATTGTTTTTTTTTTTTATAATCAAATACATAAGTAATATGTAGCTTGGTTTGGTCATTTGGAGAGGATGGATGAAAGAAGAATTACGAAAGAGATTTATCGAGCAAGAATGAATGGAGATGTCGGTAGGGGCCGCCCTAGACGGACGTATGTCGACCAAATAGGCGACGTGCTGAAGAGGGGGGGCCAAATTAAAAGTACCCGTAACCGGCGAGCGAGTATGAAAAGATTGATGAATGTGGAAGAAGCGAAAGAGGTAGGTTTGTTTGAATCGAAGCATTTGGCGTTCCATTGTTTCTGCCTATCCTAATGGGAGACAGGCGTCACAGATATGTATGTATGTATGTATGTATGTAGCTTGATTCATAAAATTGTACTAATAATAATTGATCCCTGTTTTCTATAGGTCCACATAAAGTCAAAAGATCAAATTGTATCACATACAAGAAAAGAAAGTAGCTAGCTTTATTTCTAATGGCCCATAAAATAGCACATATTTACTACTTTTCTTTACGCACTAAACAATTACTTAAATGACAAAAGTGTATGGTGTTAGTCGATTATGCATTTGCTTTTAACGACCATGTAATTTTGGATATAGTGCATATAATTAAATACACATAATAATAATCTTCCGCCAAATCGCTACCATCTTTTTGCTTTTTTCCTCTATCCAAAGGTTGTATGGAAGAGATTGCTTTAGCAATAAGACCGCCTTTTGTATCACTTCTCATTAATATTTACTGTATTTGTTATTTCTCTTTTTACTTTGTGCAATAAAGTGTAAAATAAAATAAATAATAATAATAAATAAATACAAATACTGTTAACTGAGATTTAAAAGAGTTTCTCGAGGGTTCTTCTCGGCTGATAACAATTTTTCTAATCCTGCATTCATAAAAAAATTTAAAAGTGCTTGTAAACAAGTCTATTTGAATAAGGATGATTTGAATTTAAATAGAGAATCTGTTTAAGAATTCTCACAAAATAACATAAATAAGCTAAGAATATAATAAAATATATATAAATGCAAAACGGTCTGCCCGTCTAGTAACCTAATACGTGTCAAGCCTATAAATAGTATATATAATAGTTACACTTAATTTAGTTATGACTCACGATAGTTATTATTCAACAGTAAAATATCTTTTCAAACTCGTTAATTTGTTTTTTTTTTCTTTAGAAATAGTAGACAAATTTGTTTTCAATAAAATATATTCAAATATTTTTTGAATTTATTTTTAATTAGAAGAAATGTAGTTCATTATGAGAATGCTTATCAGAGAGAAAATTTAATATTGAAATTCAATATATTTATTCTATTAACGATTGAACAAAGTAGTTTCTTTCATGACGAAAGAAATGTGCTGGTAATAAAGTGAAGTTTTATATTATCAGTGTCATTAAATTAACAAAACGTATATCCATAAATTAATTAACGTAACAAATTAATTTAAGCCTCCAAGAATGCCGTTAATACAATGCCGCGGAAATGTTTAGCGCGTTACTGTACGTACAGCATCCTGTATGCATGTATTGTGTTCAAAATATAATAAAGTGCGCTCTACTGCATCTCTCCGCCGAGAACAATGCGTTACGGCCGTTTTATATTAGTGAGGTAGTGAAGCGCCTTAATGTACTTATCTACATTGTCCAACGCCAGCGGCATTGATCGACCGGTAAAGAATATATTGGCTTTTACCAAAAAATTTTATGACTTTCAATATTAGACTTAATGAAAAATTTAATTACTATTTGAACTCGTCATAGTCGTAGAATACTGACGGATCTGACAAATATTACATATATAGATCCGTCAGTATTCTACGACTATGACTCTGACGAACTATAATAAGAGTACCTATCTATATCTATAATACCTATATTTCGATAGTATATATATACATATATATATATATATATATATATATATATATATATATATATATATATATATATATATATATATACAAAATATTGTACATATTTATTTTGGATATTAATTTTAATCTGTGAAAACAAATGGATATACTTCAAATAAGTTGTAGTTTAGTCATTTTCCATTAAGTGGAGTATAGTCAATTTGAGCAGCTAGTACAAAAAAACTCCATAGCTAGGGACTTTGATAAAAAAATATATTTATTTGATATATACACTTAAATTAAATTGTTCTTCTCAAACTAAGATATAATAATATAAAATATGGAAAATAATAATAATAATAAAAAAATGCTATTTAATTACTCGAGTGTAAAATAATAAATCAATAGAACAAATCTAATGTAAGATCAATTGAGTGTCTCGAAGCGCATCACTATCTCCCGCTGATCATTCATTTGAACACTTTTATAAATTGTTTTCCAACACTGTGACGTACTTTCTTTACTTTCCACGTCCGCCGTGATCAGTTGCCAGATTCAATAGCTAAAACGATATTTAATTTCGGTAAATTATCATCGGCGCGAAGTATTACATTAGTTAAAGTGATATTGAAAATCGTCAATAAGCATTCTCGGTAACTTGGCAACTGTTTCTTTTGTTTTATCTAGAGACTTATGAAAGTTGGGCCGCTTCCTATTAAAAAAAATTGTATTTTAGATACAAAAAATAGTACATCAATAATAAATTAATAAATAGTAATAAGTAACTAAGCACCTTAAAGTAACACCTTCCCGCGTGGTCACAGTTTAGAATAGACTACCACTTCCTTTCCCATAGGTGTCGGAAGAGGCGACTAATGAAGGGCGAGGAATGGTCAGCAGCGTCCCTTTTAAAACATCTCCAAAGCCTAACTATGGTTGCTAATCCACTTGCCAAGCATGACAACTACTAGCAAAACCCCACTAGGGGAGGCTTATGTTCAGCAGTGGACAGTTAAAGGCTGATATGATGATGATGATGAAACACCCTAAATATACATAAATTTTTTCTAGTAGTATTTGAAAATCAGTGGTTTATTTATTAAGCAAACGACTCACTAAGATATTGCCTTTTTGCATTGCTGTGGTACACATATTAAATTTTCACATATTTTTCTTTTCATTTAAGAGTTTCTTCTTGTCGATGCAACTCATTTATATTATGTTATGT